AGGGACCAAGGAACGTTGTGCTGCACGGACGGTTCGTTCGTGCGTGCGTGCGTGTGACTTCTCGGGGTGCTGATGCTCCCACGCACCTAGTGTAAGGAGGCGGCGGGTCTCAAGGCACGCCTTTGGACGTGGTGTGGCCGGCACAAGGGGTAGAAGGCGAAGGGAGGACTGTCAGACCTGTTGAGTTTGATTTTGGCTATCATGCAGTGCGCTCATGGGGGTGTATTACCCTCACGCACAAGAATTGTTTTTTCCATCACCAGTGCGTACTCTTTTCTCCACCCTCCTCTCTCTCTTGCACTTTCGGGCGAACCCGTCATCAATGGTATACCGACAGGCCGCCAGACAGAGCAAGATGTGCNTGCGTGCGTGCGTGTGACTTCTCGGGGTGCTGATGCTCCCACACACCTAGTGTAAGGAGGCGGCGGGTCTCAAGGCACGCCTTTGGACGTGGTGCGGGCGGCACAAGGGCGGAGAGGTGAAAGGGAGGACTGTCAGACCTGTTGAGTTTGATTTTGGCTATCATGCAGTGCGCTCATGGGGGTGTATTACCCTCACGCACAAGAATTGTTTTTTCCATCACCAGTGCGTACTCTTTTCTCCACCCTCCTCTCTCTCTTGCACTTTCGGGCGAACCCGTCATCAATGGTATACCGACAGGCCGCCAGACAGAGCAAGATGTGCACGTGCGTTCTTCGACGCAAAAGAAGGCCGCCACCGATGTGCGTATATGTGTGTGTGTGTGTTGGGGGGGGGAGGGGAAGGGAAGGGAGAACAGGATGCGTGGGCGCTCAGTCGAAAGGTGATTTTGTGTTCCGTTCTCACAGCATTGCTCAAACTGTTTGGACCTCGAACAATAAGCATCCATCACAGCGCCGGGCCAGTGCACGCACACGAGCGAGCAGGGTGTGGGAGGGAGATGGTGGGGAGAGGTCATTCAGTGTGAGCTGAGTTGAAAGTTGTGTCTTCACGTGCTTGTTTGTCGTCAGACTGACAGGAAACTATGAGATATCATCATGCACGCACCTGCGCACCACCCACGGGTGCTCTCGGACAGCCAAACAGGGACAATTCACGCAGCACACCGACCGCACGCCAAGGGACCAAGGAACGTTGTGCTGCACGGACGGTTCGTTCATGCGTGCGTGCGTGTGACTTCTCGGGGTGCTGATGCTCCCACGCACCTAGTGTAAGGAGGCGGCGGGTCTCAAGGCACGCCTTTGGACGTGGTGTGGCCGGCACAAGGGGTAGAAGGCGAAGGGAGTACGGTGGGCACATATGCTAGATTTTTATATTTTTGCATTTTTAACGTTCTATTGCGTTGGTTATGGTGAGTAGTACAGAGAAAAAGGTGCATTTCTGTGTGGTTGAACACTTCGATGGAGACATGAAATGAGGTTTGATGTTTGTTAGTGTTAAGTATATTTGTAGACAATGGCATATTATATACTTTTTCATCTTTCTCCCTTTGGGCTGAAAAAAAAAACATGTTGATGTGGTTGTCGGAAAAGGGTACATAATGGATAAAGCACAGGCATATTACAGTAGTATATAAATTGTGGTGAAGTATTGGATCATATGATGGTTGACATGGCGCATAGCGTGGAAAACAGTGACATCAATGCTGCGTAATGCCTATTTCGTTTTTTGTGACTCTTTTGACAAAAGGTAGAGTGTGTGTTGTGTAGTGGACTTCACAGAGGGAAACAGCATGGGCGTCGTTTTCTGGTATATGGCATACAAGGGGTACTTTTGTCTCGAGAGTTCCTCCGTGATGAAGGCTGTGGAGTAGTAAGTTAACAGCTCCACCGTGATGCAGCCAATCCACTGCCACCAGGCCAAGTGGGCGTGCGCCAGCGCACCAACGGCGAGGGTGACCCAAATGGAACCTTCACAGAACACATTGAGGTGACGACTGTACCCAAAGACGCCTGTAACGCGGAAGCCATACGAGAGGAGGGTTTCCTCTCCCTCGGTTTGACCGCGGCCCCGACGACGCTCCTGAAACGCACGCTTTGCGCGCTGAAAGCGTTGCTGCTGTTCGTCGCAGATGGTTTCAAAGATGACGAAGAGAAGCATACAGGATCCAATTACTACGTCCTTGATGCTGATGGGCACTGAGGGGATGCTGATAACAGGAAGTGTGATGGCCCACAAGACTGCTGTCTGGAAGACGGCGATACTCCAGAAGCTGTACAGCTCCCACACGATTGGGTTCGCCAGGCCCGGCCAGCTGCGAATGTAACTCCACCGATAGTCCTCGTTACCGCGCGAGTAACCGCCACGGCGGGCAAAGTTGAAGGTGAGGCGAATGCCCCACACTGTCACAATGATGCCGTAGAATACCGCTGCGTTGTTCAATGTGCAGAGTGATTGGGAGGGAAGGGTGCCCTTGACATTGTAATATATATGTATCCAGGTGTACACTACCGGCGCAATTGACCACGAGCGGTCAACCCACGAGTAGTTCCTGTGGATTACTGAAGCTGCGTACATGACAAGCGCCATAGTCACCATGAGGGCGAGGGTGAAGTTGTACGAGGACGCCAACAGCGTCTGTAGAGAGAGCTCCGTTGACACCAAATACATGAGGCTGGCTTCTGTGGGTTCGTAAAAATATATGATCCTTCACACTCAAAAATACCTCTTGATATTTCCGTTCTGCTTCTTGTCGACTTTTTTATTTTTGGCCTTCTTGGCACTAATACGTGATACTTGGGTCGTGGCTGGGGAAGAGAAACGAGGGGCAATGACGACACGGAGGCATCCGTACAACTCCCCGTCTGCCTCTCCAACGCCTTCTTGTCCCTTGCCAAGGGTACACAGAACCAAAACCCAGGCTCAGAAGGATAGTGCCAACACCTTCCGGAGACACTTCGCTTGTTTGCCACCCTATTCTCACAGAATCCAATCGCTGAGGTTAGTCAACGAACACAAAAACCCAAACCAACCACAAAAAAAAATAAACAAAAAAGACGCTCCGTTTTCATTGACTGACGGCACTTCTCCTTGGGTAGCTGGAGCCTCTGGGCTCGGTTTCAAGCTCCTTTATCAGATCCTTCACAATGCTCTCTCGGTGCGCCTCTAGAGTGTCCCCACCGATCTCAAGCTGCTTCGCATCTCACCACAGCCGTTCGACCGGCATGTCATGCGAGTAACCCATGCCACCCATCACCTGCATTGCATTGTCCTCCACCCGCTTCGCAACTTGGGTGGCGTTGTGGAAGTTGTTGATGAAGAGAATTGTGTGCACCAAGTACGCCAGGTAGAAGGCGGTGCCCGACTTGGACAACTCGTGGTGCAGAATCACCGCGGCCGGGGGGTCCATTACCAGCGCCACCATCTGCCTCGGGGGACTGTGATGCCGAGCACACCAAGGACACCAAGTTCTCGCATGAGGTCGGTGTTGAATCGTATCTCAATGTCGCTTCGTTGCGCCTGCGGCTCCACCCGCTTCGACACAAACTTCGCCATTGTCTGCCGCAGCATCTTCTACTCTGGCGTCGGATTAAAGACGTCGTCTGTGTTGGCTTTGGAGTAGAGGAGCGATGACACTGCTCGGCACTCCACCAACGGGCTGGAGAAACGACGCCCGACGCAGGGGTATCATGGCGGCACGCATGAATGCTGCGCACGAAAGGTAAACAAAAGCTACGACACCATTAAGCTATCCAAATGCGGGTTCGAACTGACACTGAGAAGAAATAAGAATAACTAAGAGGGAAAGGAGAACACACTATCATTAATGGCGCGCATTTGCCTCCTCTTTCTTTTCACCCCCTCTCATCTAGAGCCAGAAGATATACCAAGAGCACATGATCTCTTTTTATTTTTTTTTGTTCATAAGAGAGATCTCTTAATTCCCATTGGAAGGGGCGGAGTGCGTGAAGCTCATGAAAGTCACAGCCTCCTGTGCACACTCGCCCGCCCCACACAAATTGCGGTGTTGCACATTGAGCAACGTGCGCTCCGCCGCCGTGAGTCTTTGAGTGTCCACACCAGCCATCAAAAGCCTCACCTGCGTCAGCAGGTACGTGATAGAACGCGAATGCGTGAGCTTCTCACCCCCGTCGGCGTTGACGGTAGTCATGGCTCGCCAAATCTCCGACGAGAACCGCCCGCGTTTCCCCAATACTGCGATGCACTGCTCCAATGGGGCGAAGAGCGGGAGGGGCGCACTCGATGCTGGCCGAATGCGTTCCGCCAGTTTTTTCACATGGACGGCTGCCTTCAACGTCCCTGTGGTGGGATCCTTGGGATACACGCGAAATCCATAATCAAAACACTGGCCTCCAACGATAGATCTTAGTGCCCACATGGCACCTTTTAATAGTTCCACTCCACTCTCTACAGCCGCTGGTGTCAGAGACGACGTCCCTCTCAGCGTGGCCTGTTTGATTTTTGACAGCCGAGTTACGTGGTGACGAGACGGCTTCACATCCATCACAGCGCGGATGAACTCAACATTAATATTAAACGCTTCACCTTGTATCAACGATTTTCTGTAATATCCACCATTGATACGGAGGTCTCTGTATCGGCGCCACAGTTGCGTGGTGCGCCCACCGATGCCCTCGTACCAGTCGCCACCACCCAGCAGCATGAGTAAGACAAAATCAATGCGGAAGGAGGGCAACAGTTCAGCTGGCAGACGCCCGTTGGGTACGCTCCCCATCCAGTGGTCAAACAGCTTGCCGACAGAAGTGATGGCGAGGTCGACGGGGTCGACCATGTAGTAGTGCGTGTACGGCGTGCACGCGATGCCGATCAATGCCAAATCAGAGTCGTTGCCTACAACAACGAATACATCGTTACCGGTGTAGGTCTCCTCTCGCCGCTGTTTGAGCCAAAGCTCTCGGATAATAGATGACATTTTCAATTCTCCTTCACCAGCCTCTGCGCAACCACTTATGATGATGGTACGACCAGGGAGGCCTCCTAGTTCTCCACCATCCTCACCCACGTCATCCAACGCACACCGTACGGCGTCTTCACAAGCCAGAAGGAATTCCGACCCTGACAAGATTTCCTCCCTCAGGAGCTGCACCTCTGTTCCACAGTAATCATAGTTGTACCTCTGACTCGCTACCACTGAAGAGCACGAATCGGAAGGATGAGGAGACGGCGGCGGTGGATGAGAAACGGCATGCGGGCTTGGCATTCCAGCACGGCGCTCCTTTTGTGTTTTCAACTTGGCAATGGGTGCTGCACCATCAAATACCAGGATGAGTGTCTCGCTAGGAGGGAATACCTTCAAGAAACGCTTAACGGCCGCAATAACATCCCTGATTGTTGTTCGCGACGTGAATCTATTTTGGCGGACGGTGGCGTGCACAACGGCGTTCATGTCGAGCAGCAGGTGATGCGGCTCCATGATGGGCCTGCACCTCTCAACGTGGGTTTGCGAGCATAGCCCGTGGTTGTTGAGGTACGCCCATAGCCCCTGCGTGCCCATTATTGGGGGAGCACAACGTCTTTCTCAGTAAAATCGGAATAACAAGAAAAAAAGGAACGTGTCCACATACGCAGCTCGTCATCTCTGTTAACAGTACACACATATACACGATGCAACAAACAACACACCCAATCGGTGGGAGTGGAAGTCAATCACAAGGCTGGTCGAAGCGAAGATGCCAACGAGAATCCCACGAGACTGTACACATGAAAATGGCAGACTATACAAACACCATTTTTTCTCCCCTCTTCGTCTCAGATTTTCTTCCCTCCGCGCAGCCCCACCACCCTTCTTTCCGTGAAGGTGGGAAAATGCCACCTGCACCCTCAGCGCCGACCCCCTTCGACCGTCGCTCCTGTCATTGAGGTGCAGAAGAATGGCTACGCCGGCCACACAAGCGCGTAGCTGCACAACACTCACGGTCAAACGTGACAGTCCGCCACAAAACAAAAACCTGCGAGAAATGACAAACGAAAAACACAACGAAAAAAAAAAAGAACATAACAAAAAAAGACATCGTCAGATCAAGAAAATCAAACAAAAGAAAAGCGAACAAGTTTGTGCCTTGAAAGGCATCTTCTTCTTCCTCAAACACCTCTTCCCCAAAATGCTTGTTTTCTTCTTTTGCAGTGCCTTCTGAGGCACTGCAAAAATAATAAGAACAGCGTGGGAAGGCAGAGTGGGTGGCGAAGGAATACAAGCAGAAGCGACAGAGCAGGGATAAAGGAATATACGTAAATACACGAAAATACGCGGAATAAACAGGTAATGGTGGAAACTAACGCACAAAAAAACACCTCACCTATCCAGTGTTCTGGCTTTCATTAATATCACGTCATTCTTATACACATAATCTTATATTGCCACCAGAAGCATCATTGCCGGAAGAGAGAAGGTAGCGAAGCGAAAAAGTGTGTATATATGTAGACACATTGCGCAGCTGTGTGAAGCTTTCCTTCTCCACCCCACACTCCTAGACGGACTCGCAAAGCTATGAAAAACAGTAGTCAGATACGCACTTTCAGGAACGAGAGGGCGCGGGAGCGATTCCGCCGCAGTGCACAGGCTTGATCAGTGCGGTGGCCCATTCAACCGTCACCTTGTGGTTCCACGTTCTCAATAAGGGCGGTGTTGTTCAACAGACACACAAGGTGGCACACAGATCACACAGAGGATGGGGGGGGGTGCGCAGAACCGGAGAGAGACGTCTCCCGTTCTGTAATGTCACCCACCAGGAGCAAAATAGACTAATACCTTGTGCTTTGCCCATTCGTTCGTTGCTGCAGCGGCAGCAACACCGCACTGCTTCCTGCACGTTTTGAACTACATGCTCGATGCATATCCGTATCCACAAGGCTCCCATCCAGAACCTCCTCGTTTTCATCCACAAACACCACATTGTCTGAGAACATGACCCGCGGCTTGCGCCGGCACCGTAGGACAGGCGCCGACGCGTTGCGAAAAGAAGCAGTAGTTTCGGCGCCCCACGAGGTGTTACTGTTGTCGACTCCACCAATGTTGCTCGTTTTGCTGGAGTTGATGTCTGCATTGAGCTGTGTATATTCAAGAAAGAACACAGGCGAGTTTCTTGAGAAGGTATGGAGATTACCATCTTCACTACTGTCGCCGGACCTATTGAACTGCTGATGCAGATGATTCTTATCCGAGGCGTGGGTACCATGCCTCTTTTTTCGAGCCTGGCTGTTCGAAGTGTTAGCGATGTTGTCCTTCGTATCCATCTTGTGGGCGGCGTTTTTGTGTGTCGGCAAAGATGGGGGCTTGTTCACGCACCGCGCTCCACGTTTGGTGTCTAGCGACCCAACAGCGGATGATGGTGTGCCGGAACTTTGGGGCTTGTTGGCCTCGGATGCCGCTTGCTTTCGCCATTCACGGACATACTTTTCTAAATTCCCTCTGTACCTCGACGGCGATATGTCGTCCGGCGTGGAAGACGTATCTGTGGTAGGCCTTTCGTCGTCGTTCCAGTGGGGCTTCTTCGTGGGGCGCCGCCCCTCCGCAGGATCCAGCCTAAAAACTGGAGACGATGCCCTCCGTGTCACTTGTGGTGCAAAGACGGGCACGGGGTCGTGCACCAAGGAGGCCCACGATACATCGGACGACGAGAGGGTCGGAGAATCCACGTATGGCGCGGGTATCGGTGATTCCTCGCGCCGTCTGTCTGCCAATGCCCTAGAAGGCATGATTTCGGATATTGGCTCTTTCCACTGAACGCGCTTACTCTGGGAGCCGTTTGTGGACGTGCGCCGTGGCCCCGCATCTTGGCTCACGTCGTCGCTCAACAGATTCTGGGGGGCGGCGTTGTTAGGCGCTGCTGCTGCATGGCGGCTACTGCTGCTCTTCTCAAGACCACGACCGTTATTTGAGGCACTGGCATCCTCTACCCTTGTCGTGCAGAGCATCTCTCCACCACACGCGACGCCCATTTTTCCTCGTGGTGCGCGTTATTTCAAGGTAGCCGCACCACACCACCTGCTCTTCAGTGCAACGATGAACAATATACCCCCAAAATATAGCGAACGTTGCCGAAGCAAATGTTGCGCCACTTATGAGTTGACAGCACGGCTGGTGCTGCCCTCCCCTACCGATAACCAAATATATATATATATATATATATATATATATTTGACAAAAAAGGGACAATAACGTGGGGGAATGACCTTGAGATCGCCCACTAAAATCCACGGAGAAGCAGATAGAACCCCCCACCCCCCTAAAAAAAAAGAGAAAAAGAAAACAATCATGCATAGAACGCAGGGAAGGTAGACAAACCACAATGTTGCTGCGCAACACACACCGACAGGAAAAACTTCATTTGATGGGGTGAGTAAAAGAGGCCTACTTCACACGGCTGCTTCACTACACGCGAGTGGGCATAGTTCTTTCAATTCTTCTTCGTTTTAAAATCCAGAGTAACAAAAATAGAACTAATAGTAAAAGAACCCCTAATAGAATCATTGCTTCTGCTCAAATATTCTTGACCCACGACTCGTAACGCTCACCCGGATCCCGCTCGCGCAGCAGCTCATTCAGCCCCTTTTCGCCCTGCTGCAACACCACAAGAAATGGAATCGAGACGACCCCGACGAAGGGGTGAGTGCGGTACGCATAGTCGGGGTTGCCAAGATAGACGGAGCGCTCAATGATGCTCTGGACGTATACCACACGACGCTTCGACCGCGCGGCCAGCACAGCTCGGCGCACCATAGGCTCCGCGAGGACACAGGGCGGGCACCACGACTTGTGCGTCTTGCGGTCTGACGCGCCCTTGAAAAGCAGTACCACCACGTCGCCCTGTGCCAGCCCCGCCTTCACCTTATCAAAGGTCGCATCGAAGTCTCGCGGTGTCGTGACCAAAATGTTGTCATCGTTATTTGCAGGGCCAAGGACCGTCTCCGTGGGCGGGTTGGCAACGTAAAACTGGTGGTCCGCGCGGGCCTCCCGCGCCTCAGCCGCGAGCGTCGCGTCAAGTTCCCCTTCACGTGGCAGCGGGCGAAAGACAGTAGACTTTCGCAGCAACCGCAGCACCTTGACGGGGGCTGAGGAGCTTGCCGCAGCAACAAGGCGGTGATAGAGGCCACGAGGGAGAACCACAACATCACCGGCCTTTGCCTCGATGCGAACCCACCGGTCCTCAGCGTCGCGCACGTCGACATAGACAACACCGCTCTCCACGATGCGCATCTGCTCGTCCACGTTGAGGTGCTCGCGAAGCTCATCCAACGACTCCAATGTGAGCGTCACCTCCTCCTGTCCCTGGTAGCCCAGATTCCAGGCGAGGTGCTGCGCAAAAGTGCGGTTCTCCTCGTCCTTTGGGTGGCGCTCGTGCAGAGTCGCGGGGTCCATGCGTCGGGTGTAGACACCCCACGCCTCCAACTGACCGATTGATACTGGGGCGTCTGGAGAGACATGGTTCGGCGCGGCGATGTTCGCTTCGTGCGTGTTCAGAAGCCAGGCAGCCAACATTTCTCTTCTTTGCTGTTTTAGATAATGGAGTTAAAAATAAACTTGGCGTGAATATGTGTGTGTGCGTGTGACGTCCAAGGGCAAACAAACACGCGAACGTGGGAAAAACAAGACATACGCGAATCGAAATATCACAGCTTTGGCGACATGGAGACTCAACATTTCCACAACACATCGGTGCACTAACGAGAGCCATCCACGGGCACACGCACACGCACACAGATGGAGACAAACAGAGATGCACACTAGAACAGAAACTACGTGGGGCCCAAAACTACATCACCACTCAGGAGCTGTATCAGTGCTTCTCTCAACTTGAACTTGATGATGGGGCGCAAAATAATACCCATTGCGTGCAGCTTGGTGACGGAACAATCAGTGCGCAACGCGCCGATGGTGACACGAGTGTCCCTGCAGCAGATAGTGAAAAAACCTGCCGCGTATAACCGCACGTCCACCCTACTCTTTATCTTCACCTTCTTCACCTTTGCATGCAAAACCCCTGAGGTGCTGCCACCCCCAGACCTTGCTTTGCGGTACGAGAACGCCAGAGGCTCAAGCAGCAGTCGCCTAATCTTGACGCGCAGACGCAAATAAGCACCATCGTCGTCGAAGACACCGTAGGAGCGCCCAAACACAATATCCTTGATTTGGACAGCTTCATGATCCAAGAGAATACCTCCCAGTGCCGAGACGTGCACGCCGCGCGCGGCTGAAAGCACCACAGCCTGCTTCAGCTCCTTCTCAATCACGCTAAAAACCTTTGGGATGAGCTCCGGAATCACATCGGCCAACTTTCGACAGTGCACTGTGACTTCCTTGCAGAGCGCACAGCAATCCGCATCGCCAAACACGGTTGACCATGGCGCAAGTGACTCCATGATGCGGTCCCACTCGCTCACCTTTGCCGTGCTGAATTGCAGTTGCGTGGGCACCGTAGCGGCTGCGGTATCCGGCTTCTCCGATGCCACCCCGTTCGTATCGCCTATCGCGGCGGTGGCTGAGCCGTTGCAGTCCCCCGCTCCATCCTTAAACAACCGCTCGGTGGCACCCACCGTGTCTCTGGCGACCATCCGCTCCCGCTCCAGCCCGGCAGCGGATGGGGCCCACCGCATGATCGGCGTTAGTGCCACGGAGCCGCTTTCGAAGAGCACCTTCTTGTCATCCGTCGGCAGCGTGAGGGGGCGCGCGCCAACAACGTCCGTCATGGTGGCGGTGGCGAGGAAGTGCTCATCCCACGCCGCCGTGTCGACGACGAATGCCCCAACGGCATCTTCGTACTCGTGATGGAGCGAGATGCCGATGACAACTCTCTCCTCTAGGGTACGCAATCTGCTAGCCAGGAGTTGGCGTATGCCTACAAACGCCTGCTGTGCGTTGTTGGTGGTACCACCTTTCTCCTCTCTAGCCCTTGCCGCAGTGCGCTCGTGCTCCAGGTAGGCGGCGCTATACACGTCGGGGTTCGCTGCTGCATGGACACAGTGCACCGCATTCTCTACAGTCTTCCCTGCGTCGATGCCCTTCTGAAGGCACTCGGATGAGGCATACGGGAATAGGGCCTGCAGCAAGAGCAACTCTTCATCCGTAGACAAACCGCCTTCCATCATTCTGCGTCACAAGCCCTATTGGCTCTGCACTGGTGCCCACCGTGAAGTGCACGGGGCTCACACACGCTTGTCGCACTGTCTGTTTGCTGCCTGCCCTCTTTGTCGAGCGGGACGGCGAGAGGGGCCGGGGGACAGGGTTGGGGCTACAGGAACCAGCACTGCTGCAGCCGCACCGCACGGCGAAGCAAAGTAGAGAAGTCGAACAAGAGAAGGGAACACAATGAAACACAACCCATCCCAGCGACAGTAAGAGGCCCACCCGCCCACACAAGTATGGTCCAGGAGATGGAACAGAACTATGAAAAGAGCAATCCCCAAAACACACACACACACACACACAAAACAATAAACCACCGCATGCGCAAATAAAGTAAAGGATCAAAATAAATCAAAGAAAGAATACTTGTCACAAGTAGCGCCTCAATGCCTCGGCCACATCACTAAACGCGCCTTCCCAGAAACACAAATGGTCCTTTTCACGGCGCAATACCTCCGAAAGAACAACAGACACAAACTCGCTTCCTGCTGGGGCGCCAGAGGTCCCCTCCACCGCCTCACACAGACGCAGCGCCAAGAGCGACTCGGGTGCCGGGCGGCATCGCCGCAGGATCGGCATGTGGTGCGACACCAACTGGACGAGCCGCGCAACGGCATGTCGCGCTGCCGCCAGCTGCGCCGCCGTGTTGGCGTCGAGCGCAGACTTCGGGTGCCGCATAAAACAGGCAAGGATCAGTAGGGACCATAGCAGTGTGTTGCGAGTGTTGGCCACAATAACGGCCGCGCGGTCTCCATGCTGCTGGTGGAGGATACCACTGCCTCCATTGCCGTCCAACACATCCTCCGCGTGAAAGGAGCGGCTCTGACGAAACCTCTCAACCCAGTCATTGAGAACGCTACTCAAAGACGCGATGCACGTGAGCGAGTCCCACACAACACAATGAAGCGCACGCAAAGGCCGCCTTGACTCTTCACTCCTCTGAAATTCATCCAACAACCGCAAAAGAAGCTCAGCCAACTCTACTCCATCCATCTCAAAGTCACTGCCCGTCAGGCAGGATGGCAGCGACACACTGCTTGGCGCAGCTCCGTGCTCCACCTTAAGTGCAGGGGTTTCACCAACAGCACAAACATGGACAACACGAAACAGCTCCATTATCAGCAGCGGAGCAATACGTGCAAACTCCACCCGTTCAGCAAGGTTTGGCACAACAACGTCCTCACCGTATGGGGTCTCACAGACGAACATGAGATGAACGGCGCGAAGAAGCTGTTGCCGCAGCGACGGACACGTCCAGTCCCCGTCTGAAAGTACGAGCTGCGTGACGCTACGGAGAGTCGTGAGGTGCAGCTGTCGCAGCTCACACATGTCCAACATTGTGCGTGCGACACGCCGCGTGTCGTCCTCCGCGAGCTCGATGCCACACCGAAACGCGCCCAGCCACAAGGTGAACCCCATCACTATCCCTCTTCCATGCCACCTTGCGGAAAGTTGATGAAACGCGTCAGGATTGTCGTTGGAGTCGTCCAACACACAGCAGCTGTTCTCTGCGCCGCAGCACAGATGACGCCACTGCTTCGACGAGCGGCTCTGCAAGGCGTAGTACTCGGCGACACTTAACGCGTGCACAACGGGCAGCGCGAAGGTGTCTTGAGAACTGCTGCATAATTGGGGCTCTGGAATCCACGCAGCGCAGCTCCGCAACAGGCCGCATGCGACAGAGAGAGCCTTTACAGACGCTGGAAGACATGCGGCGACCGAAGCGCGCTGCTGCCCCATGTCGCGCCGCCGCTCTATCGGGCAAATGACTGCTAGAAGCCCTAGCAGCACCCCCAACGCATGGTGCGCCGGCATATCTTCTTCAGAAGATGCCACCGTCACGTGCAGCACCTTCACTGCTTCTCTGAGCCGCGCGGAAGCAGCAACCATGACCCACCGCGCATCATCGCCACAGAACCTCACCCACTCTTCAGAGCGAAGCACGGAGGCTAGTTTCACGAGGAGCTCCGCAGTGTCGCGTGTGGCAGTCCGCCCACCACATATCGCTGGAAGGACACCGTCAACTATCGCCAGCAGTTCATCCGTAGGCTGCCGCCCGCACATGATGCTGCAGAGAGGGCGCAGGTACACGTCGTGGGCAATGCTTGTGGATGCCAAGCAATGAATGACGCCCGTCTCGTAGCGCGCTATCTCCTCTGTAAGCAGCAGCGCATATGCCTCTCCTGAGGACGCCGCTCTTTGCCGCAGGAGCACTTTCAGCGGCTCACATGTGGCAAAGAGACGCAAATGAACAGTAGGATCCACACGGACAACGCGGCGGCGCAACTTGTCCAGCATGGTGCAGGCAAGATTGCACGCTCGACGGATACTTGCCAGAGACACCGCACCGGCACCAGCTACGCTACGAAGAAGAAGAAGACGGTGACACACATCGAGGACCGTTTCCGCCAAACGGCAATCGTACCCGCCACCAGAACGGCAGCTTTCACTTGGCTCAATCGCCTGCTGCAGCGCATCTAGAAAAAAACCCAGACGCGGCTTTCTTGGAAACTCTGAAACCCACACTGCGTTGAGCTGCCGTGACACCTTATTGCCTTCGTCACACGCCAGGAGATCGTCCACCGCGAGCTGCCGAACAGTGTCCAACGACAACGGCGCCGTTTCTAAGAGAGTGCACAATGCATCCACCAGACGGCAGAGTCGCCTTTGGGCATCCTGTGGAACTCCACTGAGACTGAAGTGATTTACGTGCCGCAACACCGCCACGATCTCAGCTTTTGTAAGCAAACCGGGGGCAAGGACCGTCGGCTGAAGGCGAAGCGCCAAGTTGTGAAGCAGCACCTTTTGGCACTCACCCATTTCCCCCACTTGGCAGAACGGCGTTCTCCACTCCTGCCGATGTTCCCCTGCACCCTCCAAGGCCAACAGCAGTGACAGAATATGGCGACAATGCAGGTGCCCGGCGAAGGAAGCGAGCAGAGCGTCCAGGCGATTCAGCTGAAGCCCACAGCAGCGGTGGCGGCGGCGGCGGCACCGAAGCACATGACAGTGCATCACAAGGAATATATCCGCCGAGGTGCCCTCACTGTTCACTTCAGACTGAAAGCCGTCGATGTCGTCGCCGTCCTCGCTGTGATGATACTTATGATGACTCTGACACAGCGATGCCAATACGTGACCCGACCCCAACATCTCTTCTACAGAATCCAGGAGCGCATCGACAAACCGCAGCGGGCAGTGTTGGTACTCAAGAACCCGCAGGACCGTCGCGAAGGAGGAGAGAAACACCAGTGGGTGGACAACACCGCAGCCCACAGTGGGTAGCACGCCCTGTGCGACGACAGTCGTACTTTCCTTGACGAAGCAGCAGCGGAGATAGCACTTCAGAAGATGCGCTGTGAGCATTGGGTGCCGCACTTGCAGCAGTGACAATCCCCGCATCAAACGAGCCACGTGGACACAGCACCGAAAGTCTGGCAGCACCGTCAGCACGGACAGAACAAGCGCGTGCGTACTCAACGGCGGCTCCCGCAGATCGCCCAACGCCGCAATAACAGTGCTGGCTGTTGCAGCATTGCTGAAATGCAGCGAACGGTATGCCTCTCGCACGAGCAGGGACAACACAGGCGCACTCTGAGAGATTGCTTTGTGCGTCAGCATATTGGCTACCCAGCAAAGCAGAGGTGAGCAACGAGAGAAGCAGATGAGGAGCGGCACCACACAACTCCAAGACATCCCTTACCGTTCCAGTCGTAGCTCTGTCGAGAGGTCCCACGGCGCATTGCGTCAGCACGCCCCAACAGAGAAACAACAACAACAAATAGAAACCAAACAAAAAAAGCCACCGAGTATCTTGGTCCCCATTTCAGACCACACATTTGTAGAGGGAGCATTTTCGCAGCAACTCCACGAGTGAGGAATAAAGGCGAATCAAAGGGGAACCCCCTCCTCCGATAGCCGATTCTTTCACCGCACTGGAACGAACATCCACTTGATCCAGCAGTTTGTTCTCCAAAGGTACAAGGGTGCGCAAAACGATAATCGCAGAAGGCAAGGCCGCCAACATCTCGCGGCGCTTCCGACTTGGAGAGTGGGCAGTCCACCACCCATACTCCGTTCATTACAAGAGACTCCCACGGCAAATGCAGTTGAACGCTTCTACCCGGCATCCGCAGGCACAACACCACACGAAGGAAAGCACAATCAGCACGTGACACGTCGTCACCGGCATTACTTTGCTTCTCGTCATTAGTCTTTTCAGGGGAGGAAAGGAGAAAGAAAGTTCATGTGTCTCACGGCACATCATATGAAAAGGCAAGCACTCATCTCCAGACAGCGGCGTATGCCCGTTAAATTCCACGTGAATGTACCCGTCTAGTCTATTCACAGACACATCGACCTCACATCCCCCACGGAGCCTCCGGTGGCTCAACTCGGCGTGAGGTCCGCACATCGGTGCCGCCCGCAACTCTTCCACAGCAATCGGCGTTGTCACCGCCTCCTCGCGCGACCCCGTCCGCACCTCGTAGACGCTGCTCCCACTCCAGGAGGGTCTTCTCCTTGCGCGATATTTCCTGTAACCGCTCGGTGTACGCCGCGTGCTGCAGGCGCACAAGTGCGTTGAACTCCTCTTCGCGTTCTTCAAGCTCTCGCTCCCTTTGAAGCAGCTCGCGCCGCCACAGCGTCTCATCGTCGTATGAGTGGTGAGAATTTTTGCCTTTGCTGTTCATATTGGAGGCGTGTCTACCCATATTCGACGCCTGCCGGAAGTCACACGGACCGGATTCGAACGCGTCAACACGTTGTCTTAGCGGTGAGGAGGGCGGATACGAAACAACGGCAGCAACAACAGCGGCAGGCGACGAGTCAGGCGACAGCGGCGGTGGCGCTGGCGCCTCTCGCCGTGGCGGTGGCGTGCGTAGGTCCTCCACAACGCGGTGTTGCTGCCGCAGCTTTCCCAGGCCGGCGTCTCGCAGCATCTTCTCTAGCGTGGCGGTGCAAGCTACAACGGTTTCTCGCTCGTGGACCGCTCTCCCTAACAAGAGGGGGGCTGTGGAAAAAGACAAGGGGTGAGACACAAGTTCCGCGCACACCGCAGGCTGGAGATGGTTGAGATCCCACTCTCCCAAGTGATACCCGCACATCGTCAACCCAACAATCTCCCACACCGTCTAAAATACCACCACCACCACCACCACCACCACCACCACCACAACAGCAACAAAATCGCTTCTCCTTCTCACCCAACGCGACGCAACACCAACGTCGCACAGGGCACGTCGATTCGGCCGTACGCCCACGACGCGTTGCGTGCCTTCTGCAGCCCCCGCGCGTCGTCAGCCGTGATGCCGACCGACGGGTGCTTCAAAAGACTTGCCACCTCAATCCCTGTTGCCGTGCTCTTTTTATCAGTGCTAATGCGTGGCTCGTTGGTGTGGCTGCTGATGCTGCTGCTGCTGCTGTTGTTGTTGGTGCTGGCGCCGCCCTTGGCGGGCTGCTCGTCGCCCTTTTCGCAGAGCTGCACAACCACGTGGTTACTCAGTGGCGCAGCGGAGACGTTCCGGTCGTTCAGCTCACACCATGACCCCTCAAAGACAATCTCGCCGTACTGCTGCGAGTGCAGCACGACGACGGGGTGCGGCGTTTCAAGCGTGCCGCTCTTGACAGTGAAGGCATCTGGCGCGAATTGCAACACGCCCTCCTCACCGCCTTCTGTGGGAGCTTCACAACCGCAAGCAGTGTCCGCTGCCCTTTCACAGACGTGCGCGTCCCTGAAAAAGTCAAGACACGGCAAGCGGATGAGCACGGACTGCGTCTCCTCCACCGTCACAATCTCCTCGACAAGTGGCAGCTCATCTGCTCTCAGCCGCGACTGCCGCGTGCTATCGGTGTCCGTGACGGAACGCTCCCGCTTCATCCCGCGGCGCTGCCGTGTTTTTCTTCCCTTTTACCCAGTGAGACAATGAAAGAGAGAACACAAGAAACAGATTTCGTTCGAACTGTGTATTGTAGCCATTTCCGCTCTCGCCCATTCTCCCTACACGAGAGCTCTCCCTCCGTCAGGCTGATGTGCTTCGCCGCTCTTCTTACTGTTGCCTTCTTTCCATTCTTAGCGGCGCCTCAAAGGCGAAACACCGCGACGCAGTTGTCGTACACGCGCTGCACCACCTCCTCCTCCGTCACGTTCTGCAGCGCCTCATCGCCATTCTCTTGCCCCAGGCGCTGCAGCGTGCCAATGTACGCCTCCAGCACCTGCCGCAGGTGACACGGCTCGTTCCGCCGCTCGTCACACAGGGCCGCAACGAACGGCTTCCCCTGGCGGTTCGTCGGGAAGTGCGTCCGAAGGAACTGCGCTGCGTAGTGCTGCTTGCGGATGTCGCACCACGGCGAGTCCGTCTCCAGCAGTAGCCGCTCACGCGGTATCCTACAGATCTGCTCGGCAACACGCTTCTCGCGAAAGGCACTGCCATTGACACTGAAGTAAATGCCGTCCATTGCCAAGAGCCGCTGCTGCTCCTCTGGGGAGCCGTTGTAGCTGTGCACTACACCAACAAATGGCATGTCGCTTGGCCAGGCCCGCCGCTCCTCTTCAAGTAGGCGCACGAAGTCCGTACCGCAGTCACGGGAGTGGAACAGAAAGGGCAGACGCAACACCCTAAGAGCACGTAGCTGCCGCACAAAGTACTCTTGCTGCAACTCACGGGGACAAAATGATTCTTCGGCGTAGTCAAGCCCAATCTCCCCCACGGCAACGATGACATCCCGGTTTTTCTCGACTAGTTCCAAAAGCTTCGCTAGGCGTTCCTCCGTATGCTGCCAGGCATCATCATCAACAGCAACAGAAGGAGGGGGCTCAGGTGTTTGAATAGACGCATCATCGGCAGCGGCCTCCTCGACGCTCGCCCAGTCCATCGGCCGCATCAGCTCCGCGCAGTGGGCGGGGTGAATTCCAACGGTGCACAACAACTGCGACGGGTAGCGGCGGCAGAGCCGTATAGCCTTCACGCACTGGGAAAGGCTGGTGCCGGTGATGATCATCTTCTGCACATTTTGCTCCTGCGCCCGCCGGAGGACATCGTCAAAGTTGTCTTCGTGCACACGTCGGCCTTTCCAGTCCACACCGCGAAAGACACAATCTGTGAGATTCAACGCAACATCTACCAAATATGGACCCACAGGCCTTTGCATGTTGTGCCCTTCCTTTGTCTTGCCTCGAACAGCAGTCAATGGGGGTTGGGGAGCCGGAAATGAGAGTGACAAAAGCCGTAAGATGAAAAAAAAAAAAANGAAGCCAACCGGAGAGACCAGACACATTTTTTTCCCCCCAGCACACTGTTGTACCAAGGAATTCAAATCAGTGAAACAGCAGAAAAAAACATGAGAAGCGCTATCCCTCCGCCGCACCGTCCTATATACCTCCCTCTCTCACTTGAGGAGATCGGCAAGATTGACCACCTCGACCTCTCCGCCACCGGCCTTTGGCTTCTTCGGCACCGCCGAAGCCTTCCCTTTGGTTGCTGCAGCGTCCGCCTCGCGTCGGGCGCGGCGCGCCGCCCGTTTTGCCTCGCGCTCGCTCTCCTGCCGCTTCTGCTCTGCGCGTGCACGCTGCTTCTGCGCACTTGCGCGGAAAATTCCCGCCTTCTTGTCGAGGTCCGCCAGCGTGCGGTCGAGCGCGCCGAAGTAGGACACCGGCTGCGACCAGCCAGCGGTCGGCACGTCGTCGGCGCCGCGCCGCTGGTGCGCAATGAGCTCGGCCCACGCCGCCATCATGCTGTCGCGCGTCTCCTTGTCCAGCTCCTTCTGCCGCGCCTGCAGGATGAAGCGTAGGAAGAAGGTCGGGCAGTCGCCCAAGTCACTGAGGAGTTCGTGCTGCAGAATGAAACTGAAATCCACCAGCTTCTTGACACCCAGCAGAGACGCCGTGAGGTCCAGCGCACGCCGTGCTGTGCTGACGAGCTGCCCACGCCCGTCCGTGACGCGCTCCGACCACATACCCATTGCAAGAGTCGTGTCGCGGGTGAAGCAGTCAATGAATGCGTTCCAGTCCTCCACGCCACGGCTGTTCGGGTGCCGAATGGCATCGCCGAAAAATTCCATGAGTGTTGTGAGATATTTGTGAACATACCTCGTCATCATGCCGCGCGTGGCCATGCGCACCCGTGCCTCCTCCAGCGCGGTGATGAACTCCTCGTCAATGAAGTCGCTCATTGTGTCAATGATCACCTGCGTCGGGTTGGTGTCGTTGTCGTACCACTCATTGGAGCGAAACACGAGGGCCCACTGTGCGCCGACAACACGCTCAACGTGCAGCACAATCTCGTCCACATAGTACAGTGCGTGCTCGGAAATCATGTCCTGCGTCTTCTGAAACGGCGACGCATTTTCGCCGCTTCCGTCCTCTTCATCCCAGTAAGACGCAAACTTGAGCTCAATCGTGTCCATGTTGCGCTCGATTGTCGAGCAGTCGTTGCAAAAGGCATAGAGGAACGCGAGGCGACGCGCGGCCCACTCCTCAGCTGGGCTCCCTGACGTCTCGTTCTCCTCCTCCCAGTAGTCGTAGTCACTGCGCAACTTGCACTCTTCGAGGTACGCTTCGATGGCCTGCGCGCAGGCACCGCCAATCTGCCGCATGACTCCAACTTCAATCGCCGTAGAAAGCCCACCTAGCGACTGCTGCAGCACCGTGAACATGTCAATCGGCCCAGTCGTCACGGGCAGTCCGTTCGGGAGCGCTGTTGGCCCGCCGCGCCCACTCATCACTGCGATGGCGCAGGAGCGGCACAACTGGATGAGATGCGTCGAAAGACCACCGACAGCTGCCGTCATCATCGACGCGGAGAGGCCATCAAGAGCGTCAAGATCGACGTACGCTGTGTAGTTTGCCTCCATCATCGCCTCCTTGTACCACTGCACGAAGTCAGAGACCTCTAGCAGGCCGGTAGCTCCCACCGCCGCATCGGGGTCAATGTAGCCGCGCAGCACGCCCATCACCTCGCCGTGGATTGCCTCCACCACAACGGCGAAGAAGGAGAACTTTGTGGAGAGGGGAATGAGTGTTATCTCCAGCGCGGCCAGCAGCGGTGCCACCTTCTTCATTTGCTCAAGGTACGTGGTTATTTGCTCAAATGGGTCCACGACGTCCACCATCACCTCCTCTTCCCACAACCGGGCCACACACTTGCCCACAGCGCGGCCCACCTTTTCTTCGGTGATGAGCTGCTCGCCATCTGCGGTGCGCAAGACGCCGTCACCCCCCACTTCCTCCTCGCAGAGCTGCACGCATTCTTCAAATTGAGTGAATTCTGGGAAGTCATCGGCAACAGCGTTGCCATCGGGCATGTCCTCTAGCGCTTTTTGGATCGCCACGTACACAGAGTTTTCCTCGAGCAGTTTGTACACCTCTGCTACGAACATAGTCTGTACCGTGTCGAGCTTTTCAAAGTATGGGTCAAAGGCAGCGCGATAACTGCGATATTCGGCGCTCGACTTCTCAATGACAGTGCGACGTATCGTCTGCAACCGACGTAGGCGCTTGTATACCGCTGCAAACTGCCGCTGCTCTACAAGGCCGTACAAGTTGGTGTAGCGCACCTCTTTCAACGCCTCTGCCCACTTAATGACAGACGTCACATTGTCGCGCAGAAAGTGCAGCTGCCGAAGCTGCTTGTAGCTGCCTGATGTCACCTCCATGCTGGTAATGAGGTCACCCTGTTTCATGTACAGCGCCCGCAAGTCCTGAATGCGTTCGCTGCTTTCCTTGATGATCTGCACAGCGCGGTGCCCCTCCAGCATCTGCGAGAAGGCCATCGAGTTAATGGCGCGTCGGAGCTCCTTCGCCTCACTCGCGCAGGAGCGCAAGAGGCGTGGAACGGCCACCTCGAGGTCCTCCGGGTGCACCAACTCGTTGTTGATGGCCGCCACCACTTCCCTGCCAAGATTGGCGCGGTCCTCCTCACTGAGGAACGGAAACAACTGAGCGGAGGAATACAGTTCCGAGGTGTCGACGTCCTCCGTCGCCTGCTGCGGGCCGCGCAGGAAGGAAGCCCTCCCTCGCTCACGCATTTTTTTTTTCACCCTTTCTCCGCTTTCACAGCAGTAGCAGCATCAAGGAAGGCACACTTAGGACCTGAAAGTCCGAGAGAGACATGCAGACAAACAGACAGAGCGAAGATAGAAAGTAGTAAAGAGTGCCTGAGAGCCACAAGGACAAATGCTCCACACCGCGCTGTGCCCCCTGTCCCGCTCCCCACTAGTTCGCGGCATCTACGAAAGAGAGCCGAGACACCGCCGCGCAGGAGTCCGACAGCTGCCGCCGGCGCCGTGCGTGCGAAGGGTGACGAAAGAAAAAAAAACTGCACTCGTTCAACTGCAGCGTCAGCGTCCCCAGCCCTCACATCGGCGAGAAGCATCGCCTGAGAGTCTGACCGTACAGGTGCGTGCGAATCTCTCTCTCTCCCCCCCTCTCTCTCTCTCTGTGTGTGTGTGCGTGGACACCCGTAGTAGTTAAATACCACACGTTCGTTTTTTTTGTTTGCTGCCCTTTCTCTCGTCGCTGTCCAGTCCCGCTCCGCGCGTCTCGTTTTTACTTCTTTTGCGCCGCCGCGTGTCGCCGCTTCTCGTACGCCTCGACGAGCGCGTCCGCTCGGTCGTTGATTGACATTTTGCTCACGTCGTTCTGCCGCGCCTCAATCGCCTCGGCGGTGTACGGCAGCAACTCGTACTTCATCCGCTTGAGCGCCGCCACCTCTCTGGCGTAGTCGGGAATCTTGAATTCGTACTGCTCGTCGACGCGGTTCGTCTCGTCGATTGCGGCGTTGATGGCGCTCACGACAGACGTCATATTGTACGAGTTGTGCATACCCAGCACCGCTTTGCCGCCGAGGTAGCCACCGCCCAGCGAGATCCAGCTCGCGTAGTTGCGGAAGAAAGGGACGCGCGTGCCAATAGAGAGGCACGCTGCCATTGTTGCCACCATCGCACCGCCCATGTAGCCGTACATCCAGTAGTTACTGTTGGCTACGCTCTGGTACTGCTCCACCGCTTTGTGCACACGGGCGCGGTTGTCTTCAATCAACACACTCGCCGTCACCAACGCCTGCGCATGCTTCTCCTCTGGCGTTTGCGGCGCGCTTTGCTTCTGCAACGTAATTGGCTGTGTCCACATGCCTCTCTACAGGCACTGAGATGCTCGTATATATATATATGTGTGTGTACGTGTATGCAGCCCACCCTGCTCCCGCTATTGCCGAGTCGCGCTGCCTTTCCTTGACAGGTAGAAAAAATAATGAAGAGAAAGTCTAATGACAACAAACAAGTCAGTACTGAGGTCAGGCCCAAGAGAGGGGAGGAAAGGAAATCATCTTGACAGCACAGCAACCATGCCAATCAAGAGGATGCTCCTCCCGCTTCCTTCACTACTTCTCTCTTTCTGTGAGTGAGTGAAAGCATGCCTGCGTCGTGCATCACACCGCCTCGTGCTGCTGCTGCTGCTGCTGCTCAAGGGGGCGGTACGGCACCTGCGGATGGTCGGGCGTGTAGACGCCGAGCCCGCGCCAGTCATGCTGCAGCGCCCCGCGGCTGAAGCCGGGTGCAAGGTGCCGCGCCGTCACGTGATACCTGTCGAACAGCGCCGTGTCCCTGCGGTACACAAAGCGGGCCCGCACGGGGTTGTAGTAATAGAGCGTGCAGCCGCGGTCACGCACCGCCTTGCGAAGCTTCGCGTGGCGCGTCACGAGCTTCAGCTCCTTACTGTGCAGCGCAGCCAACAGCGGCGCGTCCCTGTCGTACAGCGAGCGCGAAGAGGAGAGGAGGTTATGCGCACCCTTTAGAAAGCGGTGCGGGGAGCGGGCGGCGTTGTTGCCGTGCAGCAGCGTGAGCACACGCACCAGCGGCAGCTCCCGTGCGAAGAAGGCAGCAACGGTCCACAGCATGAGGTCCTCGTCGCAATACACCCCTGCGTCGTGCAGCCGTATCTCCTCGCTGAGCGGTAGCAGTACCGCGCGGCCCTTCTCGAGTTCGTACGCGATGATCTCCAGCGCCTGGGCGCACGCCGCCCGCTCCTTCGCACGGGCGCTCGTGGTGGACTTTACCGACAACTCACGCAAACAACACGTCGTCACGATCAGGCTGTCCTTGCCGCTGGGAAGCCGCCTCACTGCCGACACGAGCTGATCCGTGCCCGTCGCCATCAGAGAGGAGTGTAGCAGATAGACAGAGTCGATGCCGTTGAGGTATTCCAGCTGCGACAGCAGCGTCATTACAGGTCGCGAGGAGCGACGCATGGAGGGCCGAGACAAATACTCCGGCACAGAGGCTGAGGACGCCGCTGCGGAGATCGACTTTGCGTCATTGCGAGCGCGCAGCTGCGCCTGCAGATCCTTCAGCGAGGAGGGAATGCGGGGGGCGGTGCATGGCTGCTCGGCAAGCAGGCGGTCCGCGACGACGGCGCAGTGCTGAAAAGAGCGAAGGGTCTGGTGGTCAAACTGATTGCGCACAGCAAATGCATACGCGGCGTCCTTGTCGGCAAGCGACAGCAGCAACTCGGAGCCGCTCTCCAGCAGCGGAAGCAGAGTGGCGGTGTCGCCCCGTTCCGTGGCGACGTCAATGGCCTCCTGCAGTAAAACGAGAGCCCGTGCATGCACCATGGCGTCTCTTGTCCGCGAAACGGCAGCGAAGAAGTCAGCACCTCGCGGACAGCTGGTGTCATGCAGGAGAAGACGCAGCAGCTCCGCGTTGCCGGCGTCAGACAGCACAGAGGACAGGTACATCCGCTCGACTGTCGCGATATCCTGTGGCGCCCACGGCACGCCGTTGCTCTGCTCCTGACGTCTCCGCACACGTTGCAGGAAGACTGTCATGATGGAGTTGAAGACGTCCCCGATCGCTCTGCCGTCCGGCATCACCGCCGCGAAGCCATTAAGAAGGTCGACAAGCTGCGCGTCGCTACACAAATCCAGCAGCGGAGCGTTGGCGCCGCCCTCGTCGCAGCGCACCAGCTCCACCATGAAGTCGAAGAGCTCTTCACCTGTTCCCCAAAATGCCGTTGTGCGGTTGACTCCTCGCGGGTGCGAGTAATCTGCCCTGTTGGACGGCGCGTGGTCGGAGTAGGTGAACCACTTGTTCGGCTCGAATACTTTGATCAGCGCCATGAAATGCAGCAATTGCACAGTCAACGCCGGGCTGCGTGGCAGGCGCCACGGCTGCTCCTGCACGAGGGCGACAGTAGCCGCGTTCATCAGGTTCACGTAAGCACTGACGAGGGAGTTGGTGACGAAGTATGGTCGGCCGAACTTACACACCTTTGTGACGAGAAAGTTGAGTCCTCTGCCATTGGGCGTGAAGGGAATGCTGATTTGATCCAGCATGCGCACCAGCTCCTCGTCACTGCGGCGTGGAATGGTGGAGGCCATGTCCGCCAGGGCGGCAGATCGGGCCTCGACCTGTGGCCGCTCGGCGAACTGAGAGAGGAGACTCTCCAGTGTGCGGTCGCACTGCAGACAATCAATCAGAGGGTAGTCGCGGGAGACAGAGTAGCCACCCAACGCATCCTCTTCCTCTTTCACAGGAGCTGCTGCTTCTCTTGTCTGCGTGGCGTGCAACATGGCGGCGGAAGAGGAACGCGTCCACCCCTCCGCCGCCTCCTCCTCCTCCTCCGCATTCTGCTGCCGCTGCAGATCCCCCATGTCCTCCAGCGACGCCTCCATGAGTGCTGCTCCTCTCTGCTGCTGGCGCTCCTTCGCCCGCTCAATGTCGGGAATGTTGCGCAGACGCACAGGCCCGTAGCCCAAGTCATCATCAAACTTGGGTAGCGGAAACGGCGTGAAATTGTCACCAAGCGACTTCGGCTGCATGCTCTCCGGCAGCTGCTTGTACCGAACAGAGTCACGCGCCAGCGGCTCCCTGCAGCGGTCAAACCGCAGCTGAAGAACCACTCCAGGCCCAAGGGCGAGGCGACGAAGCATCAGCTCTTCGTCTACTTCCCGTACCTCCTTGCTTGGAACACTACTAATTCCTTTTTCCTTTTTTTTTTTTTTCGAAAATCACACAAGGAGAAACACCGAGATTATTTATCTCCCGCCACCCGAATACTTCACACAATTGCATAGAGAGAATACCGCACATAATTACACACAGGCAAGAGAAATTGCCACCGCGTGTAGGAGGAGGGCCAGAGAAAGGTTTGAAAGAGAAGCAATATTGGTGAGGACAACCCACCTCCAGGTCTACTTTAGGCGAATGTATATCACTGTAAGAAGAAGAACCAATGGCACCGCCAGGACGCGGCTCGTCAGCCATGAGTCGATGTGTGCCGTCGTCTCTCCAGTGCTCTTTCGTAGCACTGTTTTCGGCGTGCCGCTCTCGAGAAGCGGCCGCGGCATGACCTCTGGGTTAGACTTCTGTTCTGACTTCCGATGCTTCTGCTTCTTCTCCACCTCCTGCTTATACTTCATCTCCACTGTGCTCGCACCAGACGCTCCCTGACTGCCAATGTAGTCCCGCTTCTTCTCGTCGAGCCACTGGAGCTCCTCGCGAGCCATCCGCGCCAGGTTGACCTTGTACGCCACGTGCTCTTCCACGAGGAACTTTATANGAGCCACTGGAGCTCCTCGCGAGCCATCCGCGCCAGGTTGACCTTGTACGCCACGTGCTCTTCCACGAGGAACTTTATATCCTCCACCGGCCCGGGGTACACCATGCGCGAGTGAAGCTGCCTTATGCTGGCCTCGCGCAGGTCGGTGAGCTCATTCACGGTCTTTATCGCCTTCTCCATGATGGCCGGTGGGGTTCGCTTGAAGGGCAGCATGAGCTCATTTGCCTCATTCGCCTTCTCGAGGAGCTGCTCCGTCAGGCTCGCGGTGACCATCAGATTGCGTTCGTTGTCATGCGCGACGACCCTGGAGATCATCTCCGTCCTCTCCTCAGCCACGCGAAGAAGGAAGATGAACACAACAAGAAAGAACAAAAAAACGAACACCGCGGGGATACAGCGCTGCTGCTTCGTCGGTTGCACAACCCCCGGGAGGACTTCCTTCACGGCATGCATCACCTTTGACCCCACCTCGAGTGCCCCACGAAACAGCGTAGAATCCTTGTTGTCCTGCGAGTCTTCAACGAGTGCCACAGTGCCGTTGTTGGAGCCGTCTCGCATCGCCTTTTTCGTTCCTCCACGCGAGGTGCGCGTTTCGTTACTACTGCTGCTACCACCACCGCCACGCACGTACAGCGTCATGGCCCCACCACGCTTCCGCCCGTGCTGCTGCACGCCGCCTACACCGCGCCCGACGTTTGAGGAGAGCGGCAGCACCGCCGTGTGCAAGTTGCTGTATGTCGGCGGCACCTTTGAGTACGTCATGTCGAGGGGGGCTTGGGGGTCCCGTGGCACGACAGGCGCGCTGACCGGAGCTGCTGCGGGCCCCCGTGTAGCGTTTTGGTCAGACCCCGCGTTGATGGACTGCTCAATGCGCTCAGGCACCTCAGCCCCCTTGGAGCTTTGGGCCATACTTCGGCTTCTGCTACTTCTATTTGATATATCCATGTATATATATCCATGTATATATATATATATATATGATGGTGCAGAGTGCAAATGGGCGAAGCAGAACAAGAAAGAGAGAGATGCCACTCTAACAGCCGCCATGGAGTTCGACATGTACACCAAGAGATGCTCAAAAAAGGCGTCGCCGCATGGACTGACACACAACACCCACAATACAAAAACGTCTCTCGTCAGTTCTTCGATAGTATCCATGCACCCTTGTTTTGCCATGAAAGGAAACAAAAAAAAAAAACATCAGACACAATAGGAGGGGAATAACCTCGATAGCCTGGGTGAAAGACCGGCCCCCCGTCCTCCACTCATGCAGACTCTTTTTTCACAAACTTTTCAGTTGAACTGAATATGCCGCTTTAGTTGCTCGGAAAGATTCATGAGTTTGACATAACTTGCAGTCGGGCTGTGAAGGGCCAAGTTCGAAAAAGGGTTGGCGGCATCTTCCGACGCTAGAGGGGAGGCGGACGGCCGGCGCTTCTCGTCGCCACACGACAGACGGATAGAACAGTCTGCTGCTGCATTGCGTGCCTGCATGCTCCCCATCGGTGTTACGAAGAGCGAATGGCTGCCACCATTCATCCGCGACACCTCGCTGCAGTTCGCCTGCGCAACGGGTGACGCCGTGGGGACAAATACGCCGCTACTTCTGCTGCTCCCTCTACCATTACCGCCTGCTTTCGCTACTACTGGCAATACCGCTAGTGTCTCAAGTGGCGCGGACGAGGTGCCGCGGCGCACGGCGCTGACAAGCCGCTTGCGGAATGCCTGCGCCTCCTCCACCCGCGCCACGTCGGCTAATGCCTGGTGCTCGAGCAGCTCCACCCTCGCTCGCGAGTCCCGCTCGCTGTAGCGGCAGCGCCACTCCCCCACTTGCGTCTGCAGTTCCACCGTCTCCTGTGTCAGGCGCGTCTTGTCTCCTTCCAGCTTCTTGACGGCCTCACGGCATTGTTCAAGCTTCTCCTCGCGCAATTTGCACTCCGCCACGCGCCCCTCGCGCTCGGCGTGCAGTTGCTTTTCCAACACCTCCTCACGCGCCGCGCACTGACGCTGCATCTCCTGCACCTCGCGCAGGTGCTGCTGGTGTTGCCTCTCCGCGTCCAGCGTGAACTCCTCAATCGCACCGGCGGTCTCCTTCTGCAGCGCCACGAACCGCTGCCGGTACTTCTCCCGTTCCTCCTGTACGACATTTTGCTGCTCTGTGAACTCGCGCAGGCGCAGCTCTGTCACCTCCTCCAGTTGGTGCTGCAGCTCCTGCAGCTTGACCTCCTTCGCATCCAACGCCTCCTGCAGCACTGCGCCCATGCGACGGTCTTGGAAGTAACTCAACACGCCCGACCGCAGCTCTGCGGTGATAGCGGCGACGTCCTTTTGACACGAGACGCAGAGCTCCATGAAGTCGTACTGGCGGCGGCGTTCCGCCAACTTCCACTTCTCTTCTGACGTCACAATGGCGCGCGCCATCTGCTGCTTCAGCGCCTCGCCCTCCTCACAGAAGACAGTGACCTCGTTTTCGCATGCTGTCTGAAACATGCGTAGAAGCTGCTGAAGCCGCTGCTCCGATCCTTCAATCGGGGCCTGTATGAGGGGGCGCGACGCGCCAGCTGTGAGCTCAAAGGCATACAACGTGTCGAAGACCTCCTGCTTCTGCTGCGCGGCACCAAAGAAGGCATCCTCGAGGAAGAGAATATGATTGTGGTAGTGCTGCAGGAGTTTCGTGAAGTGCTGCGCGAGAAGCGTCGTGGTGGCCTCCAGCACGACGCCCTCACCCTTCTCCGACATGACTGCAACTAATATATACTGGGGACCTATATATATATATATATATATGTGTCTGTGTGTGTATGCTGCGGCGAGCACAACGAAGACGCGAAAGGACCCGCCTCGTCACTCAGCCGCTACTGGTCTGGGAGTGTGCAGCGTGGCACCAGGACGAGTCGACCTCTTAGGTCACAAAACCACACTCTCACAACACAGCAAAGAAAGAGGGAAAGCTAGCATCAAGGCATCAGGGTAGCCTTCATGAGGTTTCACCGCTCTTTCTCTCTCTCTCTATCCCCCCCTCGTGTACCTGGGCAACGCAGAGTGGCAAAACACAACAACAGTTTACGCTGTGCGCTGGTGCAGGCGCCACAACGCCACCTCTCACAAAGACCGACGACAAAAAGCGCCGGCAACACCACAGTTACAAACACAATGCACACACAACTCAATCCTCGTCGTCACTCGCCTCGTCTAGTATGCGCTGCGCCCTTCGTTGGGCGCGGCGGCTGGCGTCGATGATCGGTTTGTAGCCAATGTCGACCACCTCGCCGCGCTCGTTGCGAACGTACGTGTAGCGCGCTGCCTTTGCCGCGATCATCTCTTCTGAGTCGCGGTAGTACATCACGTAGATCAAGCACCCTGCGATTGAGAGGCCAGCACCAAGCCACATGGACTGCAGCAACTTCCAGCGCCAGCCGTACTGCCATGCAATGGGAAGGTACGGCCGCAGCTGCCGGAAGACGTAGCCGCCAGCGCTCTTCGGCAGGTCTGGCATTCCTGGCCGCGTCGGCTGACCTTTGCGCTTGCGCCGCTCCACCTTCGGCAGCGCACGACTGTAGCGCGTGCAGCGCAGCATAACGGTGCGGGAGGCTCCTGAAGCAGCAACAGCACTGTGTGAAGAACCAGAAACCGTCTGGGTCAAGAGGCGCCTTGTACACGGCGCCTGTCAAACACCTCTGAGGGCACTGTTTAAAAAGACAATGTGAAATGAGGGGGCGTGGGCGGACACACCTTCCCTTACTGCTTCAAAAGCAACAGCAATAATAACAAGAGGTAAAAAAGAGAGAGGGAAAAAAAATAGAGCTCATACACACCACAAAGAGAAATTAGTCTGCAATAGGCGTTTCCCGCTTGGTCATTTGCCGCAACACCCACAAGCGAAACGTTAAGAGCTGCGTTTATGAACCTCGTCTTACGCGAACAGTGTCTGCCAGTCAGTACAGAGACACAAAAACAGCATGTTGCATTCCTATCCCGTGGCCTTCGCAGACTGAATGATCTGGCGGTGCAGGAGCTCATAACTCTCTCGATCCTCTGCGGTGACGGACGGCTTCACCTTCTCCAGGCTTGTCTCGAAGTCCTCATTGCCCACCAAAGGCAGCCGAGCGTCCTGCGCTGCCGCACCGCTGACGTCGCGCTCGAGGAGCTCCAACTCGGAGGCACTGGAGGTGCGGTACACTTTCTTCAGCGCATGCATCGACGCCTCGCGCACGAGCGCTGCCAGGTCGGCTCCGCTGAAGCCCTCCAGTCGCGCGTCGCGGGCAATACTGGTAAGGTCCACCGACTCGGCAATCGGGTAGCGGCGTGCGTGCGTCGCCAAGATGGAGGCGCGCTGTGTGACGGACGGCAGCGGCACGTACAGCAGCTTGTCGAGACGTCCGGGACGTAACATCGCGGGGTCGATCATGTCGGGCCGGTTGGTAGCGCCGATGACGTACACGTCCTCGCGTCCCTCCACTCCGTCCATTTCCGTCAGAAGCTGGTTCACAACGCGCTCACTGCTTGGGTTCGCACGGTCCGAGCCGCGGCGCGGCGCGAGGGCGTCCAGCTCGTCGAAGAAAAGAACACAGGGTGCGCTCGCACGGCCACGGGCAAACACCATCCGCACGCTCCGTTCACTTTCTCCAACGAACTTGTTGAGCAACTCGGGTCCCTTTATGGAGATGAAGTTGGCGCCCGACTGGTTGGCGATAGCCTTCGCCACGAGCGTCTTGCCGCAGCCGGGTGGGCCGTACAGCAACACGCCTACAGGGTGATTCAGGCCAAAACGCTTGTGGAGCTTGGGCGCGCGAATGGGCTGCAGAATACTCGTGAGCAGCTCTTCGCGCACGTCCTCGAGTGCGCCAATCTCGTTCCACGTGACGTTTGGAATCGTGGTGAAGCCCTCACGCATGGCGCTCGGCTGCACTCGCTTTGTTGCCTCCTTCATCTCGTCGAAGGTAACGGAAAAAGTCGCGAGCGCCTCAGCATTGGGATTGTCAAGCTCACCCCCCACCTCTAACTCGTTGTACTTGCGCCGAATGGCCAGGATACATGCCTCCTTCACAAGCAGGTGGAGGTCCGCCCCGACGTAGCCTGGTGTCATATTGGCGAGCTCGAAGAAGTCCATATCCGGCGCAACATTGAGCTTCTGGCAGATAATCTGCAGAATGCTCTGCCGCTCGTCAATGGTGGGGATGCCGAGCGCGATCTCGCGGTCGAAGCGGCCGGCGCGGCGCAATGCCGTGTCGAGTGCCTCGGGGCGGTTTGTCGCGCCCATCACGCACACCACCTTGTTCTCCTGCCGCCAGGCCTGGGCGACCTGGTCCATGCAGGTGAGAAGCTGGCCCACGATACGACTCTCCATCCCACGCTGCGCCTGGTCACGGCGGCCCGCAATGGTGTCGATCTCGTCAATGAACACAATGCTTGGCGCTGCACTGATGGCGTCAATGAAGAGATTGCGCAGCTTCGCCTCGCTGTCGCCGCTTATACCGGACACGATCTCGGGCGCCGCAACGAAGAACAGCGGTGTTTGCAGGGAGCCTGCAATGGCGTGCACCAGCTTTGTCTTGCCGCAGCCCGGCGGGCCGTGCAGCAGCACACCACACGGGGGATCAGCACCAAGGCGAGTAAACAGGTGCGGCGAGCGAATCGGCAACTCGATCAATTCCTTGATAATCGGTATCTCCTTGGCGAGGCCGCCCATGTCGTCGAGTGTGAGATTGGGAATGATCCCAAGACGTTCAACCTCCTCATCGCCCTTTGCACCACTCGCCGGCGCCTCATCCCCACGAGGTCGCTTTTTTGCACGCACTGTGTTGCTGTCGCCGCCACTACCACCGACGTTCTGCTCCCGCTGTGTGGAGGAGGAGTACTCGCCGCCTCTCGCCTCGCGGCGCTGCTGCTCCTTTCGTTGCTGGCCGTGAAAGTAGCGACCAGTCTGCCGTTGCTGCCTCATCAGTCGTCTCATCTGGTCTGACATTGACCACTCTCACACCATTCCCCACAAACAAAGGAGGGATGAAACACATCAAAAAAGGGAAAGGCTGGATGGACATCTTCGTTGCCCATAACGCGTCGCCAGACGTGATGACAGTCACGTGGAGGTCAAATCTGGAAGAACATCTCTTCTCTCTTCCACCATTTCACCACGCGTTCGGTTTGTTCCGTTGCGAAATATATATATATATATATAATAATAATAAAGATATATATCTTTGTGTGTGTCACCCTGACATACGCGTGTGCCAGGCCAGTCGAGGGAAACGGAATCGGAACACACAACACACACCCCGGTTCATTTGGCCGCAATACAATAAGAAGCACGGATTTCGCAAACACACGCACACGCGTATGCACAGTACTTTAACAAACCCAAAATAAAAAGACAACAACAACAGGAGTAGAAAGAAATCATAATACACAAACAGTTCTCCCACTCCTCCTCTTATCTCCTCTTTTCTTCACTCTCCCTCCATATGGACCACGGCATGCGTGTATGTGTGTGCGCCGGTGTGTGAGTGGGTAGGCTTTACTCCTACCGCCACTCGACGTCCGCTAGGCCCTTGCCCTCTTGCAGCAGATCCCACAGCGGCGACATTTCACGCAACCGCTCCACGTTGCGAACGCACTCTTCGATTGTGACGTCAATCTCCTCCTCGGTGGTGAAGCGTCCGATACCAAAGCGAAT